CCTTGCATTCTTCTTTTTTTTTTTCTTCATAAGAAGGGTGTTCCTTTCCTCAAAGAGAGAGGGAGAGGGAGAAAGACTGTAAACTGTCCAAAAGGACCGTGAGAAAACAGGAAGCTTTGAAAAGTACAAGAGAAAGCAAGATGAAATCTATTTGCAGGCGGTTCCCCAGGGACATGTGAGCCATTGTTAAGCAGGCTGTTCATACAGCTATATCCTTCCTTCTGTTGAGGAGGAGCTTGGTGCCAAAAGGCTGCTATCTGGTCATTGCCTTAACCCTCTGAATACCAGCCAGAAATATTTGCTCGAGTCTTTCCAGGGCTCTGGCAGAGAGGCAAGGGATGTTCCTGATGCCAAAGAGCAACTCCTGATTCTTCCTTTGCTTATTGTTACAATCTCCACTCCGTTCAGGGGCCTTTATGTTGATTCACACCCCTTCAGCCGTAGGAGAAACCCGTTCACTATGCTTACTTGTTTCTTTCCTCCTAGGAACATTGGGTGGGGACAGAGAAGAAAAAAAATAAGAAAAACAGGTGTTCCTGTAGAGCATTTGTTACTGGCTGGAAAACATACTGGTGGTACTCCAGCTCCCATTTCAAACTATTGCCATCTCTTAAGTTTTAATAGTCTACCATCATCAAACCCTAACCTGAATAAAAAACTTCCAGCTAATGTGCCCATACCTAAAAAATAGTGTGGGTCCAGATACTGCATCCAGAACAGTTGATCATACAATTGAGTTTCTTTTCTGAAATTTGAGGAGTCAGAGGAGGACTTTGACCAAATGGGAACAAAAAGACAGGTTTGCAGGTGTTCTCAAAGAATGAATGTCTCCAGCAGACTTGACATGGAACTACCCAAGCATTTCAGTAACAGAAATTATCTTATTAATATAGAATAACATAAGTCCTACTATACAAAATAACATTTTAATAGGACATAAATTAAAACAAAAGAAAACACCAAAACTGAAATACTTTGCTGTTATTTTTTCAAAGTGAAATGCTTCAGTTATCAAAGCAAAATAAGGAAGTCAAAAAGATTCATTTTGGTGTTTTCCTATTAAAATTATCACCGAATGCCATATTTTCATATGACATTTTGAAGTTCTACTATTTTCAAGAGAAAATAATTCCATTTAAAATTTTTCATCCAGCTCTGCTTCTCAGTGAAACGTTCCTTTTAAGAAAATATTTAATTCCATAAAGATGTTGGATGAAAGAGTTCTAGAAATTGCTTCCAGATCAATCTTCAGTTACTTAGGCATGAAGTGGGTAATATGCTCCACTCCGTATTTATAGCCCTCTTAGAGCAGATCAAAGTGGGAATAAAACCTACAGCCTTTGACTTCACAAGATACGACTACAGTAATGAACCAGATAGATAAGCAGCAAAAGGAACGGATGTAGTGTCCAATACTGAATAAGAATATAAACATGAATAATTCATAAGGAAGACATTAGAGATGAGCATGGTCAAGAAAGCCAAACCCTCAAAGGTTTATGGGGAGGGAGGAGAAGAGAGGATAGAAAGGGAACGTCAGCTTCCGATGTGCTGGAGGGAGGCAGCAAACTGGAATTCGCACAGGATCCTAAAAAGGCCAGATGGTTTCAGAGGCTGTTTTGTCTCTGAGACTGAAATTACCTGAATTTCAGTCTTGTAATTACACTTGGCCCATTCAAATCCCTTCTGCAGTTGTATTTTGGTGTGGCTTTCTTTGAGTCCTTTCCTGAACTGTCGCATAGCATCACTGTGTGAAGTTGTGGCTGCTGCTTTTCCATGGTCCTCTGCGGGGTACATGACTTATCTATGGTTTTAGTCAGTGTTTCAAGCTATTAAGCACTTAGACTTCTGATTGGATGGCTGTACTAAGCAAATGTCAGGTATGTTTATTGTCCTCAAACCACCATGTCATTTTACTGCTCATGAAGCAGAAAAAAATATTTGAGGATGAAAGTTACTGATATTGAAGGGGAAGGGAGTAAACCACAGATATTCACCTCCATTATTTTGTGCTACGTAAGCAGAAGCTGAATAAAGAAAGAAAACCAGGCTGGTTTATGCTAATTTAAATGCAACTGCAGTATGTGTAGGAAGTCTTGTTCTTCCAATTCTACCATATCGCAAGATGATAACATCACAGAAATATCCAGTGGGTTAATGCCTCTGCCACCAAATGCACTTACCTTGCATTTAAAGGGTTTGACATCAGAGTGAACAATCATGTGGGCCTTAAGAGTCTGCTTTTGCACAAAGCTCTTGAAGCACAAATGGCACTGATAGGCTCTGATATTGGTGTGGATCAGGACATGTCGCTTCATGTTAGCCAGCAGAGTAAATTCCCGGCCACAAATTCCACATTTGTGCTCTTTCACACCCTGTAAGAAAAGAAAAAAAACAGAAAATTCTGTAGATGGCAAATTTTCTAGATCATTTCATCTTCAGTACAGCAATATATGAATTATTCATTCTGCATTAGCAAAGCAGGTAATAAATTATTTCATTTTTAACATCATCTGCTCAAATAATAGATACTTATGGGGTTTTTTCCTGGCAAATTCTTACAAGAATCTGAGAAGCAGAGAAGGAAAACAAAATGTAAGCTTAATGAAACAATGAGTTTTGTTTCCATCAGTAAGTTTACAAATCAATGAGATAGTCAGTAGCAGAGCTTCTCTGTCCTACTCTGTTGATTATGTAAGGTATTGGTCAAATGTGTACACTTATTGACCAAGAATAAAAGCTAACCAGTTAAGAGACTAAAGTAGTGCTTGCCTTTGATAACTGAATGTCATTGGCTTCTAAAAAAGGCATAGCCCTGTTTTGAAGAAAGCTCTAGAAAAAAATCTGAAGCAACCAAGAAGTAGTCAAGCCATGTCACCAAATAAGGATATATATGTTACATTCAATGAAGAGAAAAAACTGTTCACTCTTAGTGGGACTTGCACTAACCCTAATAGAGTTATCTCCTTTTATCTGGTGTTTACAGAGCATTTCTAGCACCTTTTATGCCATCCAGTCAATTTACTAATGCATAATTCAATATTCTTGCTCATACCCATATGGTCTAACTGCCAGCTCCTCAAAAAGTCATTTAGATGCTATGAAAATCAATTATTTTACTACTAAACACTTTAAGAGTTTGAGTATAACTTTCCGAAGGTAATGAGGATTTACTAGTGAAGTGCCAAGAGCAATTACTCCTCCTGCAGGTCCCCATTACAAAGAAGACTTGAAACAATCTCTACTTTCGTGCCAGTCAGTGTTTTTCACAGTTAATTGCAAAGCTAAAACTGTGAACACCAACAGCGGCTTTAAGCGTCTGCCTATCTGATGTGAGGCTGCACTTGGGCAGCTAAGTACTGTTAATTATATTCACAGCTGAATCCACCTGCAGCTGTGGACAAAGAAGCTGAAACCTTCCAAAGGCTCAGGGGCATTGCATTCCTGTGACAAAAAAACTACCGAGTCTTAAATTAGTAGAATTTTGCATGGTAAATCCAAAGACCAGGGAATCTCCCAAAAGAGCAGAAATTATAATCATGTAGTAGGGAAGAAAGAGCAAATGCGGAAGTAGAGGTTGTTGGTTTTCAGAGGAAAATGCGTCCATAAGACTGAAATGCTGTAGCTTTCTGTATTTTTAATGTTTGTCATATAAAAGCCAAAATTCAAGTGTCAAAGGAAAAGAATGCAAAGCCGGAAGAAAATTTTTATAAAATGTGTGGAGTTTTGACTTGTCTTAACAACATTTTTGTAAAGGTCGATAAACCAATTTCAGACATTCTTGAATGGAGCAGTTATATTTTTCCTATTTTTGAAAGCCATCTTTCTGGATGTGTTCCAAAGCCTGCTCCTAGCCTAAACTGACTGCTGTCATTGCTGTCAGCAGTGGCAAGACTGCCGCTTAATACAAATTGGCTGGAATTATGGTCCTGCTTGTCCACTTTTACTAACTGGCATTCTGGATAACTTATGCACAAATGGGAATTTTTCTTAGGTTGTTTTTTTTCCCAACATGTCTCATTATAATGATTCTTCAAAATCTGATGAGTAATAATATACTTTCTTCTGCTGCATACATACAGTCTACTGCAAATCCACCTACTTCCCAATTAAGGGACCAAACCAATAGAACTGGTTTTCAGTAGATGATTTCTGTTAAAATTTTGGGGGGGTTATACAGCTCTACAAAATTTTGTTATGTTACAGAAGGTCATTCTGAAAATAAAACCCAGAAACGGAGAGATGTGAATACAGTTTTGGGAAGTAATACAGGTGATTTAAATGAACTCCTGTTTATAACAAAGTGGGTTTTGTGTGTATTTTCTTAAGACTGACAGAGACATCTAGCTTCTACTATTGCCAGCACTGCTGGGGCTTTTGCTCTGCAAAAAATTGCCCAGCTGGCAAAGGGCCAGCAGGACGCTCTATAGACTGATTACCTTCTTTCCGAGGAGGTACATACATGTATCTTCAGTAGCCTGTAATCCTTGTGCTACCTACCGATACAAGGTGAGAGCACAACCCATGCTGGCTTACCTTGTGAGTTAGGGAGTGTTGTTTGAGATGGTGGGGCTGCACAAACTCCATGCCGCATTCAGTGCAGATGTACGGGCGGATGTCTTTGTGCTTCATCATGTGGTTTTGCAGCTGACTCGGATACTGGAAGGTCTTATCGCATTCAGTGCAATTGTACTGTATAGGGCCACGGTGGGTTGTTAAGTGTCTCTTCAGCTGGGCCAGGGTTGGGAAGTCCAGACCACACTCCACACAAATGTTCTCTCGGCCACTCTCGTGCTTAGACTCGTGTGCTTTCAGCTCGCTGGGGTAGGCAAAACCTCGGCCACAGATCCTGCAGTTGTAAGGCTTGATGTCGCTGTGTTGCATCATGTGTCTCTTAAGGTGACTGGTTTGAGTGAAAGCCTTGTGGCACACCTGGCATTTATGTGGCCGAGTGCCCTGGTGTGTCAACATATGTGTGTGCAAGTGGCTCAACTGCTTGAAAAGCTTGCCACAACGCGTGCAAGCATGTGGCTTAATGCCACTGTGACCCAAGATATGGGTGACCAAATTGTACTTGGATGTATAGGACTTCTCACACATGGGACATTGCCAGCGTTTCTGTTCACCCCCCACATCAACATAGTAACTGTCATCTATCTGAAGGTTGACATCTACTCTTTCCACTTTCTGTTTATTTTCACCGCTTTCTCTTACTTCAGCTCTCCTGAAGGGTGGCTCTGGAGGTCTTTTCATTTGAAAGGGGTTCCTGAAATGAAAGTTTGGTGGCACAATAAAAGGAAACATTAAGCCAGGGTGGACTTTAGGATAATAAGGGTAAGGAGCCTGCATGAATGCTGGGCTACTGGGCCATGGCATATTAGGCTTCACCGGTTCTTGCTTAATGGGCTTGGCTCCAAAGTGCTCCAGAGTTCTGTAGAACTGAAAACCAAAGTTACAGAGGTCGATCATCTGGGAATTGTACTTGGGCTGTGCTGGCTGTTGGAACACCAAGGGGAGACTGGAAGAGCCTATGTCATTGTGATCTTCAGGTCTGTCTGGTGGTGATGAAGAACCCTCCAGGGCAATAGAAGGAGGCATTTTTGTTGGCATGCTCTTGCGTTTCCGAGACCCTCCTTCCAAAGACCCCTGGAATGTTTCCATGTCTCCAAGAGGAGGAGGGCCATAGCGGAAATGTGAGAGGTGTGGTCTGAATTCTTCACCAAATGGAGTTGTTCTGTGTGGCTTTGTAACAGGGCTCAGTGGCTGCAGGCAGTGGGAGAAGGGAGAGGCTTGGGTACTGTCCACATTAAGACTCGTTTCTTCATTCTTCATCATATTTGATTTTTTCTGTGTTGCCCAAATTCCTTAAAACAAACAAAAAACCAAATGCCTTTATTTCTTCCTGTTCTTCTGGGTTTAACATTTTATTTTCTATTTTATTGTTTTGGAGGTTGTTGGGTTTTTTTAACTAAATGCAACTAAGGACGTCTTAGGCCCATATAAGACAAAGGCCTTTTAAAGCAGAATTAAATTGGTTAATGAAGAACATAGAAGCTTTGGTCTTCCTGTGGTAGAATTGGTGGTTTAAATCAAGTTTGACCCATACAACATCTTTGCAACATAAACTTGCTGTACTGTGACACAGTACTTTGCAGCTGAATCTGTATGGCAATGTTTCTGCTTAATTTAATTCAGCCAGGCTATTTGTGGGCAAAATCCTGTCCTTGGCTGTGCATGCACAGGCTCTAGAAACTGGCGGTGCATCTAAAGGATATGGCAATACAAACAATAATGTGCACATTTATTACAGTTGTGACATGAAAAGCCAAAGCCAAAAAATGTTAAATTTCTTTGTATCATTAACATGTGCTGCTGTGAGAGAAAACAATGGCCAAGTGATCTAAGGACACTGTGTACCATCAGGTTTTGTGCTGTGTTTCCTGGCTTCTCTCAATTTGTATTGTAATAAGAAGGTGGAGATTAATTTATTTTCTTTGTTTTAATCCCAGAGATATTTACCTGGCAGATTTGGGGAAGGAAAGACCTTTGACGACTCTCCAACTTACATTCAGTTTTATAGACTTAATCTAGGGGGTTTTGTTTCTAAATAGGTGAGCAAAATCTCTACTATAAAACTAAATATAGAATTAATGTCAACAACCCCCCAGGTCTCCAGAGTAATTGACACCTAAGAATGCTCCAAGCCTTTCTAGTGGTACAGTGTGACAAGGCAGATGATTAATAATTTTCTTCTGGCAAAATTTTATGTTCCACTGATCATGCAGGGAGCTTCTCCTGAATTTGGAGTTAATCTAAAATATTGGTTATGATTTTGATTCATCTTAAATGAGGCTGCTACCTTTTGCCTTGGCTCTCTGGAATCATAGAATCATTTAGGTTGGAAAAGACCTTTAAGATCATCGAGTCCAACTGTTAACCTAGCACTGCCAAGTCCATCACTAAACCATGTCCCTAAGCACCACATCTACACGTCTTTTAAATACCTCCAGGGATGGTGACTCAACCACTTCCCTGGGCAGCCTGTTCCACTCTTTTGGTAAAGAAATTTTTCCTAATATCCAAACTAAACCTCCCCTGGTGCAACTTGAGGCCATTTCCTCTTGTCCTATCTCCAGTTACTTGGGAGAAGAGACCGACACCCACCTCGCTACAACCTCCTTTCAGGTAGTTGTAGAGAGTGATAAGGTCTCCCCTCAGCCTCCTTTTCTCCAGGCTAAGCAACCCCAGCTCCCTCAGCCGCTCCTCATAAGACTTGTTCTCCAGACCCCTCACCAGCTTCGTTGCCCTTCTTTGGACATGCTCCAGCATCTCAATGTCCTTCTTGTAGTGAGGGGCCCAAAACTGAACACAGTATTCGAGGTGCGGCCTCACCAGTGCCGAGTACAGGGGCACCATCACTTCCCT